GAGATTTTTTACAATGTGAACTCACATGTATGTGGAAGCACGAAGACCTGGGTGTGTACCTGAGAACGAGAGATAAAGTTTAGCTTTGTTGATATTTTCCAGTTGCTTGGAAATAAGGGTGTATTCTCAGATGATGTTTTATATTCGGGAAACAAAGTATGCTTTCCTAATGTGCAGTGTGGTCAGTGTCACCTCCCTGCCAACAAATTTTTTTTTCACTGGTTCTCTCTCCTTGTCTCTTCTATTTTCCAGACAACTATCCACTTTCTCACTGAGCTATGTACTTGTCTGATGCATAAATTGTATTTTGGCTTCCTGGGACAATAGTTAGAAGTCTTTCCTGCACAGTTACAAAGTGGCTTTCTTGGGAGGTGTGCTGTGCTTTGTTCTTCCTGTGACCAACCTTCCCTAGGGCCTAAGCTGAGCTCAGTATAGTGTTAAAGACATGTACTCTCAGAGTAATGTCTTGGATGGTGGAACTTCGGGGATTAAAATAACAGCAACCCGACCAAAAAGAGGAATTTATCATGAAGCTATGAGACCATTTCACAGAACCGAAAGATGAGAAGGTAGCTGGCCCCCAGATACTATGTGGAACCTGGGGCTCCAATGCCAACAGACTCTCTGTGTGTCTCTTACCTTTACTTAACTCTACACGTCTGCTTTGTTCTTCTCTCTTTTTGCAAACTAGCTTCTGCTTTTTCTAGCAGGTGACAAAACAAGGGCCTAACAGCCTCTGAGTTTGAATCCTTGAATCCAAGTGTCCAGAGAAACACTGCCTTGGCCCAATCCCCAATACCAAAAGACAGACTTTAATTATTATCTTGGGCCAACAGTCCATACCTGGATGAATAAAATGTAGTCAGACATGGAATGATATTTTACTCTATTATTTTTCTGGGGTAATCATTTGGATGGAGGGTGGTAGGAAGGGACTATTGCCTCGAGGAATTTGGCTACACAGATAAAAGAGCGGATGTTTGCTACACTGCATACAAGTATAGAGGTGAATAGTTTATAAGCCCTTTTCCACATGTCATCTCATGTGAATCTCACGATAGTCAGGCAAGACAGGTACTACTGGTACACAACCCACAGAGGAAGGCATCAACATGCCCCTAGAAACTAAAGGACATGTGCAAGATTCACAGGTAAGTACTAAATCCTCCTTCCACTGTTCAACAAAACTCAGCTTTCAAAATGTTCCTGAAATCTCACCACCTTCTCAAGGTTGTGAATGGGAGAGTAACACTATCTTTTGCTCTCTTGTTAGTTTGGCTTTTCTAGAAAAAAAGAGAAGTCCCAGGGAAGTATAGTTTCATGGAAGCAGGAATGAGGAAAAAGGGGAGTGAGACAGAGAAAGAGGAGAGGTAATATAAGGGGGTGAGTTCTGAGTGGGTCGCAACCTGGAAATAAGCTGATTGGTTTGTATCATAGGATATTTTCAGAGAGGCTGCTTGAAGCTACCGTGTGTTCGAGGGGTCGGGGAAGGAAAGGAATAAAACTGCTTCCGTTGCCCAGCATCAGAGTTCAGGCCCCAGGGCATTAACTCAGCAACACTTACTATTGTGAATGCCTGGGGACATAGAAGGGGCTGCTGGACACACAGAAGCCCTGAAGTAGGACACAAGGTACTATCGGGTTACAGAGGAGGGAGTGACGCAAGAAAATAGGGGCGGCCACAGAGGGGGTCTGGTGGGCCAGAAAGCTAGCCTCCACCATGACAGGACCTTTGGCCACAAAGGTGGTGAGAAGCCACCTTTCTATGGCCTACAAGAATGCAGCTGCTGCCCAGGCATCTTCCAGAGAGTCTGAAGTAACAGTCAAGTAACACTGAACAGCTGGTCACATGGTCTGGGGTCAGGATGGTGACATCTGCTCACTGACGAAGACTCACTTCAATGACACCTCCCTTCCCCCACCCCAGAATCAACCAATCCCTTCCTTATGCCTATACTATTTTTCACATGAGTCTAACGTGGATATGTGAACATTAACACAATTATTCAGATTTTTTCCTCTCCTAGAGAAGATTTTTTGGGGGTTGGAGCAATGTTGATTCATTAATTCAATAGTTTCTTGAGTATCTACTATGTGCTGAGCACTTTTTTCCATGCTAGGGATAGAATGGTAGATAAAATAGACACAAATCTTTAACTCTTTGAAGCTTACATTTTAGTATGTCTGTTGGGGGGAGACCAATAAAGAAATAAGTAAAATACATATTGTTGATGGGGATAAATACTTTGGAGGATGGAAAAGTGAGTGTCGTAGATTAACTATGGTGGCCAGGGAAGGGGTCACCGAGAGAGTGACATTCAGGAAAGAGCAAACATGGATCTCTGTGGGAAAAGAGTTCCAGGGATGGAGAAAAGCAAGTGCAAAGGCTGTAAGGCATGTCTGGTGTGTCTTGGGAAGGGCAGGAGGCCGGTGTGACTGAAGCAGAGGAAGGGACAGCACGAAGTAGCTGAGTCAGAGAGTTAACACAGAGCCAAATAGCACAGGACATTGTAATGACTTTGCTTCCACTTGGGGAGCGATGAGGACGAAGCAGGACTTTCAGCACAGGACTGACAGACTTAAATTTCAACAGGATTGCTCTGGCTGACAAAAGACTAGAGAGGGGCAAGGGTTGAAACTGGGAGCTAGGAGGTTACTGGGGTGAAATGGGGGGGAATGCCGGATGCTTGTACCAAGACAGTAGCAAAAGTGGTGAGAGACGGTGAGATTGTGGTTTAAAACTGGTGCTGACAAGACTTGTGATGGATTAGAAGGGAGGTATGAGACAGAGAAGGGAAAAAAATGACTCCACATTTTTGGCTTGAGCCAAGACTATGGGAGGAAGAGATTTTAGGGGGAAGATTAGTAGTTTGGTCATTAGTAGTTTGGCTTTGAGATATCCAAGAGGAATTGTTAAATTGACAGTAGATTTAGGAGTCAGATGTTCAGGGAAAAGTTCATGGCTAGAGATATAAATGTGGGAGTTATTACTATTTCAGTATTTTAAAATATTAGTTTAGTACTATTTTACTACTAGAACTATTTAGTATACTAAATAGTAGTTTAGTATTTTAAAATAGCTATTAGATATTTTAATGACAGATGTCATTAAAAGCCATGAGACTGGATAAAATTACCAAATGAATGAGGGCAGACAGAAAAGCGAAGAGGACAAAAGACTGACTCCTAGGCTACTCCAACTTCCATGGGTTAGAAAAGTGAGAAGTAACCAGGAAGGGGACTGAGCAGAAGTGGCCATGAGGGAGGAAGATATCCAGAAGAGCATGGTTTCTGGAAGCCAGGTAAGAATGTTTCAAGAGCAACTGAGCCAAATGCTACGGACAGAGGTGTTGAGAATTGCTATGAACTGAATGCTGCATCCTCCCAAAGTTCATGTGCTGAAATCCTGATTCCCAATGTGACGGTATTTGGAGATGGAGCCTTCAGGAGGTAATTAACTCATAAGGGTAGAGCCCTCATGAATGAGTGCCCTCAGGAGAAGATATGGGAGCCTGCTTCCTCTCTCTCTACTCTCTGCCATGTGAGGATACAACAATAAAACAGCTATCTGCAAACCAGGAAGAGGACCCTTGCCAGACTGGATCTGCTGGCACCTTGATCTTGGACTTCCCAGCCTCCAGAACTGTGAGAAATATATTCTATTGTTTAAGCTGCCCAGTCTAAGCAGCCTGAACTAAGACAAGAATTGACTTTTGTGCTTAGCAGCATGAATATCATTGGTGACCTTGAGCAGTTTCAGTGCAGTGGAGGCGGCAAATGCCCAAATGGAAGTTTAAATGAGAACAAGAAGAGAGAAATTGGAGCAATGGTATAGGCCATTCTTCAGAGTTTTGCTTTAAGGGAAAGGAGTGAAATGAGGGTAGTAACTGGAGGGGAAAGAAGAGTCAAGAAACTGTGTGTGTGCGTGTGTGTGTGCCCATTGAAAAGATCCAGTAGCACTTACTGGCAGAACCATGCAGAAAACGAACAATTGTGAGAAAAATGAACCGAACATGCCCTGGAACCAGGTCTACATAGGCCACTGAACTAATCCATGTGTGGTTTCTGTATCAATGGGAACATGTACTATGGAACGAAAGGTGCCTGGGTTAGGCTTCACAGGCCTAATACCTTAAAGGTTTCGGATTCAAAAGGCAGAAGTAATGAGCCTGTGAAGTAGCAGAGTGGAGGTTTTCTCCCGATCTATGGAGTCAAAATGTGGTCTAGCAGCATTTTCAGGGAGCTTAGTTGAGGGGGCGGTTTCACTGAATGCTGCAGTTGCTATGATCACCAAATAGCAATTAGTAATCAAATAGCAATTCAGTGCCCAATTTCTTGTACCACCTCATAAATCAAAATAGAGGGCCTTGTTCCCTGGGGGAGTGCTTTGATGCGTACTACTTGTACGCAGTAGTACAAGGAGGCCGGAAGGTCAAAGATGGGGGAAAGACAGGCATGGGGCGGAGGCAGATCTTGCCACACCATCCTGCCCCAGTTCCTGATTTTCGCTCTGCTTCTCCAAGCAATGGGGTAGATGACCCTTTCCCTCCCACTTCTTCCTCCTTTGCTCTTTGCGCCCCCTACTTCTCCTTTTGCTGTTCTCTCTCAGTGCAGGACTGGTTCAGAAGCTGAGCCTTGGCCACTACCTGGCTCCCCACCGCCTCAGGGCGCACGGGAAGAGGACTGAGAACCCTGAAACTCCGGCGGGGCAGGAGCCAGCCTTCTGAGCATGTGCGAGCAAGCCGGGGACTAGGGCGGATTTGGGGGGCCAGCTCCAGGACGCTGCCCAGAGCGCAAAGCGAGAGCGCAGCGAGCGCAGAGCGGGACAGCACTGCCCGGAGCAGTGCCCTGCGCCCAGGGCGCAGTGGCGGCGCCCTGCTCTCCGGGCGTGGGCGAGCTGGCCGCGTGTGCCTTGCTGCTTGACGCGACGACCAGCCAATCAGGGCGAGCGGCCCGGGCTGCCATGTGACAGCGAGGCGGCCCCTTTCCCCAGCGCGGCCAGAGGGAGGAGAGAACCGGGGCTCGCCGCGAGCCTTCGAGAGCAGCAGCCGCGGAGGCGGCGGCGGCGGGCGGGAGCGGCGGAGGCACAAGCTCGGGGCCAGCCGGGCGCGCATTCCCGGACGCCCTGCGCCGCGGAGAGCTTGGCGGGCCGCGGGAGCCGCGGGACAGGAGTGGACAAAGCAAGATGGCAGGGATCTTAGCCTGGTTCTGGAACGAGAGGTTTTGGCTCCCGCATAATGTCACCTGGGCGGACCTGAAGAACACGGAGGAAGCCACCTTCCCGCAGGCTGAGGACCTCTATCTCGCCTTCCCCCTGGCCTTCTGCATCTTCATGGTGCGGCTCATCTTCGAGAGGTAAGAAGGGCTGGAGCACCTCCTCCCCTCCCCCTGCACACACACGCGCGCACACACTCGCGCGCACACGCACACTCGCGTGCTCTGTGGCGCACGCCCCCGCGCCCCCAGCGCTCGCGTTCACGCCTCCCAGCCCTTGTGTTTGGGGAAGGGCTGCCGACCCCTCTGCCCGACTTGCTTTCTGAGAGTCAAAGAGGGGCTAGCTTGCCTACAGATTTCCTCCCGGGCGCCGGGAAGGGGCGGCGGAGCGTTAGGGTCGCCTCCCCTACTCCCCATGGCTCGACTTCCTCCTCGCGGTGAGGGCAGGCGAACAAAGGTGAGCGGTGGCCGCCCCCCGGACCCGCCCGGTCCACCAGCGCGGCACGCGGCGCTGCCAGGCAGGGCTTCCCCGCCGAGGCTCGCCGCCACCCACCTGACAGCCAGGGACGTTCCGGACGCGCGGCCGGGAAGGAGGAAGAACCGCGCGCACTTGCAACCTTTACACTCTGGCATAGGGATTGTAGTGACTGTGCTTCAAAAGAATACGCCAGGGACTCCTTGGCTTCTGGTCGCTATTTGGTTTCCATCCTCGACACTGTCAGGCCCCTATGCTGGGAAGTAGGTGACAATAGCACTCCAGGTTATCAGCGGTTTCTTTAAAAGAGGACGTGGCAGGATGGGTACATAGCTTGCAAAATGGTGATATTAAATTGATAGCTGTGTCCTGGGAATAATCATAAACTTTTTTTTTTTTTGGCATCAGAAGACACTTAAGATTTTGAAAAATTGTCATGTAATTTTTTGTATAGTTCCTCGATTTGTTTGGATATCTCCATTGTGGCACACACAAACTTGTGTTATTCTCATTGAATTAGTTTTAGTCACTAAAGTAGATTTTGCCTGCCAAGCATTTTCTGGGTGCTATTGATAAAAAACCAGGACTGCAGCACACACTTTTTCGCAACAGAAAACATCATCTTCCCCTTCTTTTTACCCATCCCTCCTCCCACCCAATTCAACAGAAAAGGCTGAATTTCTTAGATCACGAAGTAGAGTTTAGATTCCGTTTCTCACTTCCATTCCACCTTTCTGCCCCGGCCTCCAGCTCACCTTGATTTTGTTTCTGTTATCTTGTTTGCTGTTTCTGTTTGCCTAAAACCACTATTGAGGGTGGCAGAATGTGTCTTTTGTGCCATTTGCAAGTGCAAATGGCTACAAAGCTTCATGGAAACAAAAAGTATCTTTTGTTTAGGGAAGGTGTATTTTTCAATGGGCAGTATTGTTACTTGAGGTGAAGTCAACGGGTCACATGCAGAAATTGACCTGCACAAAGGAATAGACTCCTATTTTAAAATGATTTGGAGTCCAATACAGATATGTCATCGATCTTATCTTGAGCTGAGACTTACTGTGAAAAAAGTGGGTGTGTTTTCAGGTTCAGAGTTACTTCTAGAGCAAATCTTTACTTATGGAAAATATGAACTCATATCTAATCTTGCAGTCTCTCCAAAGGCCGGCTCTCAGGAACCGCAGTTTGCTCTATGTTGGCACATAGTAGGGGATCCACATACAACTGCAGAGTGCCATCTGATAAATTCTGTCTGATAAATTCCAGCTGTGCTCACATTTAGATAGCTAATGTGTTTAAAAGAGATGTGCACTCATATTTTGGAGAACACAAGCATGACCTGTATGCAGAAACCTGCATTTTCCTGACATCCTTCTTCTATGCTGATTCCAGGCTATTCATTAGTTGAAAAAAATTATTAGAGAATGGAGATAGCTTTGTACTTAGACTCTCTCTGCCTTTAAAAAAATAAAACACTAATGTAATAGTTGAAAACTGAAAGTTCATTATTCCTCTTCCTGAACGTTTTTTCTTCCTTTGCGTGATCCAATGACTTGATTTACAGTTTACACAAAGAAGTCAGTCACAGCAGATGTCTTTGTATTGATATGTACAGAGTTGGTCATTTTCCTTCAGGTCATTGATTCAAGTAGAAGAGTTTTAATGGCCTATATGGAAAGTGAAGGTTTATGGTTAATGTTGACAATAGTAATCCAATATGGCACATATATCACAGGATGCTACTGATTTTTGGAAAGGTGTCTTGTTTGGTTCTTTTTATAGTAGTGACAGCTCTGTCTTTATTAACCATTCAGATTCTCTTAGGTTTCCCCAAATCCCAGGGTATAGTTATACCCAGAGTTAGAAGTTCTGCACGTTTCTCCTCTTCTCAAACCTAAATGATGCATTCTTGGAACCACTCTGTAATCTTCATCTCAGTAGCAAACTCAAGGGCCTGAATCAATACAACTGAACCAGCCAATATTGTTATCACTGATAGAATTCACTGTCAGTATCCTTCTAACATTTTATGCATAAATTTTCTTTTTCAGTATTCTATAATGTATAACATGATTTAAAGAAGCCTGTTGTGAATCCCTTTATAAAATGAAATGCTTTTGTAATAGGAATAATTCCTTTGAGATTCTATTCCTTTTATGCTTCTATTGTCACATATTTCAAAGCTGAGAACATATCTAGGAGATACCTGATTATCTAAGATTTTTATTTTACACTAAAGGAGGTCAGTAATGTCTTATTGAGGCTAAAATTGTGAATTTGCGTGCCTTTTCCTCAGTTTTATGTACTTCTTTCTGTAAAGAGAAAAACTAAAGGATTGACTGAATTGGGCTTTGCTCAATTGAACAGGCCTATCATTTAGTTTTCACCCTCGCTGTTGGGGTGTTGACAGTAGATGCCTTCATGGCCAGAATATGCCACTTTGTAGGAGCATATGGGCAGCAATATGGAAGCCCAGCATGGTTGGTTAAAAATGGAGCAGCCTAAGGTCAATGACTTTGGCCAAGCCTCTGAATAGCCCAAAGGTTGGTGGTTTTTAGCCTAGCCTTGATACTATACTTAACTCTCAGTACAGATGAGAAGGGCCACTGTAGATGCTACTTGGCTGACAGAGTGAAATATCTGTTGTTTAAAAAAACAACTGGATGGTTTCTCTTAGAATGAAAATTATAGCATATACCGTTATATTATATTGTTGACTTGATGACAAAGAACAAAATATTATTTAATAATATAACATTATCATCTATTTGATGAATTTTCTTGACTTAATGCTTGTTTAGGCCCAGGAAGCCATTCTCAGGAATTTTAATAAATGCTTCTTCCAACCTCACTTTTTCAAAAATGTGTTTTCCTGTGGTATTCATAAATGTGAGATTTCTGCTGAATCTCTGTTTGAAATAAAAAATCTTTGAGTTATTGTTACAAATGGTAACTTTAATGCATTTTCTTCCCCAAGGATTTAGGAGAAAGATGCAGAAAATATTAATTGGGAATCAGAACACTCAAATTCTATCAAAACTTAACCTCACACTGGGGCAGCCTTGTAATTTATCTCTTCTTATTTTCTCATGTATACAGTGAAGCAAATGGCCTTTGTAATCTGAAGTTGCTTTCACCCTCCCAATTTTCTGATTCCTGTGAGCCTTCTGTATTTTAAGCTTACTAATTATTATTTCATGAAACTTTGAAGCAGGCCAAATGTCATTTTTGTGGCAGGCAGAAATAAATCCTCTAAGAATAAAGAGGTTTTTTTTTTCTATAGAAATATTCTAGTCAATGGTTTTGTATATTGTATTTCTCAATTGTATTTTGAGTTAAAAGAATCACTTGAGCTATTATCATTTGTGCTTCAAAAAGTTATAATATTTCAGAATAACCAACAAAGAAAATTCTGCAGAGAAAGCAATTGTTCCCTTTTTTTTTTTTTTTTTGAGACAGAGTCTCACTCTGTTGCCCTGGCTAGAGTGAGTGCCGTGGCGTCAGCCTAGCTCACAGCAACCTCAAACTCCTGGGCTCAAGCAATCCTTCTGCCTCAGCCTCCCGAGTAGCTGGGACTACAGGCATGCGCCACCATGCCCAGCTAATTTTTTCTATATATTTTTAGTTGGCCGATTAATTTCTTTCTAATTTTTTTAGTAGAGACGGGGTCTTGCTCTTGCTGAGGCTGGTCTTGAACTCCTGAGCTCAAACAATCCGCCCGCCTTGGCCTCCCAGAGAGCTAGGATTATAGGCGTGAGCCACCGCACCTGGCCTGTTCCCTTTTTGAAGGACTCTTTTAGGTGAAACTCAGAATAGACCTGGCCCCTCTTGTGATGACTGGGTGAGAATGAGAAGCTCATTCCTGTCAGGTTGGATTTCAAAATGCCAAAGTATGTGAGGAGTGTCATCTTTAAGGAGGCTGATACCAAATAGTCTGGCTTGGCTCATTCAGTCCAAGAATGATTTGCTGTCCCCAAACCTTCAAGCAACAACAGTGTCACAAAAGAGAGGGAAAAAGGAGAGAGAGAAGGGGAGAGAGAGAGAGAGAGAGAGAGAGAATGAGAATGAGAATGAGAATGTGTTCCTAGTAGTTAAGGGGAAAGAAGAGGAGTGAATGACTTCCAGGAAAAAGTGGGGTATCAGGTGAGGTTCATTACTTAAAGAATTTCTTCCTAGATGTTCCTATAATGTACCTTGTAATGAAGAGATTGATATTATCAGATATATTTTAAAGGAGTTTTTTTGAACAACTTGCATACAGACATGGTTTTTCTCATGCAATCATTGCTAGATATTAAACCCTATAAATGTATCTTATTAGCTTGTTAAATGATGGTGTGATTGATTCAGATTAAAACTGTGGATACCTGCTCTGCCAGAGACTAGAGTATAAGGTAAGAGTTGGGTTCAGACACAAATAGGTTGCTTCCTACAGTTTCTGACTGGAATAGGAAAATTGAATTACGGTGGATGTTTTGTTGGAACACAACCTGAAATCAAAGAGATGGTATTCTTTGCAGAACTTTAGTACAGCTTTCTCATCTAGCAAAATGAAAGGTTTGCATTTACAGGGTGCAGTAGTTTGGCTATTTGTAATAGGTCGATTTGTGAGTAAACGGCATAACGTTACTCTTAATGGGCAGTAACTTAGAAGGTAGGGAAGGTAGGGGAG